AAAACTTTGACTGGAGTATCATGTTTTAAAGAGCCCTGTCTGAACTCTAAAGACTTGAAGCCACTAAGAATGCCACGAAGAAAGCCTGGTATCCTGCTTGGGAGCCCTGAAGATGGCTGGCGCTGGAGCGTCAGGCCCATGCCCTACCATCACTGGCGGTTGGTAAGAGTAGAAGGGGAGCAGTAAAGATGCCTCTGCATCCCTGCGGAACCCCCACACACTCTGGGCCGCAACAAGTAGGAGGGCTACTGAGATGGGCCTTAAAGCCTGGAGCGTGGGCTCAGGTGGAGTTGCTACAGGTGAGGGATTCACCTAACTCAGCAGATACTGCAGGCAGGCCTGATGGCAGCTGGATGGCTTGGCTTCCTGGCCCTACGGGGCACATTAAGGTTCAACCATGAAATTCCAGCAAAGGTAGTCAGTTACCATTCTTGTTGTGTTTATGCAAACATCAGGAATCTTGATTTGGCTTTTTGATAGTCATGGAGGAATTTTAAGAAGAAAAATCCTGTTTCAATAGAAGTTGTTCTTTCCCTTCCACCGGGCCATTTGTTAAGCTTATAGGGATAGTTCAGTTGATAGTTCTGTGTGCCCAGTATGGGCCTCTAGCAACGGTGGAATAGAAATGCAGTCCGTCTCATGATTGAGCCGGAAGTTCCAAGACAAGGGGGGAATAAAAGGGCGAGGACTACGCCCTCCACCTTGCCCCAGGATAAGGGCTACGCCCTCCACCTTGCCCCAGGGTAAGGGCTATGCCCTCCATCTTAACTTGGCCATGTGCTCAGCAAGCTTCTTCCTGGAAGATAGTCAAGGGAAGTGCACGCCATCACTATGACCACATCCTGTGTAATGAGACACCGACTCGCGCCTGGCCAATCGGCAGGGCCCACAGTCTTTTCTCCTCCCCTTACCCCAACCCCCTATAAAAGCTCTCTCCACACAGAGTTTTCTCTCTCTAGGCCACTGGAGCTTACCGTTGCATCGGTGAGTGTGGCAGGGGAGCCAAACCTAGGTTTGAAATGAATGACTCTTTGCTTTTGCATCGGACTCGCTGGCTCCCTGTGGGTTCTTGGGAATCATGAAATCTGGGCACAACAAAAGTCCTGGCTGTCAGGCCACTGAGAGCTGTCTGACCAACGGCTGATTCTGGCTAATTCTGGGGGGGGGGAACTTCCTCCTCCCTGTTGTCAGTTTCCACAGCTGTGGTGAGGAAGCTGGAGTGACAAGGGGAGCCATGCCCTCCAAGCCGCCCTCTCCCTCGCTCTGCTCTATGTCCAGCAGCCTCCTGCTCTGCCAAGTCTTCCAAACCTCCTGCTCTCCGTCCGCTCTCCCGCTCTGCTCTCTGCCGGCGAAGGTCCCAGGAGCCCGCAGGCGTGGCTAGGCACAGCCAGCCTCGCCTCCCTGGGCCGGCGAAGGTCCTGGGAGCCCAAGGTCACTGTTGCCTCCCGGGGCGCTTGACACCTACTTATGCAAATTAACCCTCCATCTTTGTCAGGTTAATTTGCATACTCCTGATTGGCTGGTGGGTGTGGCTTGTGGACATCATGGAGGGATGATCAATTTGCATCTTTCTCTTTTATTAGTATAGATTATAGATATTCCATTTATTTCCAGTCTTTTGCCATTATAAACTGTTGCGGCCAAAGGTAAACTGAGTGGGGGGGGGGGCGTTAAAGGATTAAGGAAAAGACAGACAAGAGAATAATAGCTGGGTCTCAGTGGGACGCTGCCTCCCTGATGAGGAGACAATGACAGCCCCGCAAGCCGTGTCTTTATTTTATAGCAGATGCCACGAGGCAAAGTAGGGGCGTGATCACGTTGTTTACAGCATTCTCGTGAGTTCCAACCCTACTCAACTACATGCACCTGAACTCTAGCACAAGGCACGTGGGGCCATGTGTTTGGACCATAGGTTCAAGCTTACAACCATAGCCGTTGGCTATGATTGTGCTGGGAGGGCCCTGCCTTCCAGCAGGGACTTGCACATGGCAATGAGAGGACCCTGTCCTTTCATTAGTCCGAGGCTTGAACCTGGCCAAAGCACTGTAACCGCACCCCATAATAAACAGTGTTACATTAGCCATCAGGTTTCTCTAAGTAATATACCTGGAAGTGGAATTCTTTGGACAATAGAGTAGTTTAATTCTAGTGATTTTGCCAAGCTGATTTCCTGTTTGTTTCATTCTCATCATCAGTGTTTGATATTTGCTGTTTTTTCCACATCCTTGCTAATTCCTAGTATTTTTAGACTTCTTAATTTTTGCCAGTGGGATGGGGATCATTGATTACTAATGACATTGAATATCTTTCCATATGTTTAATGACCCGTTAGATTTTCTTTTCTCTGAATTATCTATTCCTATCGTTTTTCCAGCTGTTTGCCCTTCTCTTACTGGTTTATAGAAATTATTTTTAATTTCTAGATCTCTAATCTTGTGCTGATTTTATATGTTGATGTCTTCTTTCAGTCTCTAGGGCATATCTTTCATCTTGGTTTTTAGTGACTTTTTAAATTCTCACTCAGGGATATGTTTGTTTGTTTTAAATTGAATTTAGAAAGAAAGGAAGGGGGCGGAGAGAGGGAAACATTGATGTGAGAGAGAAACATTGATGGGTTGCCTCCTGCACATGTCCTGCAGGGACCAAACCTGCAGTCTAGGTGTGTACCCTGGCTGGGAGTCGAACCCACAACCTTTTGGTGTATGGGTCGATGCTCCAACCAACTGAGCCACCCAGCCATGGCTTAGTGACTTCCTTTTAATTTATCAGTCTTTCCCTTTAACTTTTAATTTTTGGGGTATCAGTCTTTTCCTTTTGACTTTGATGGCATAAAGGCTGTCCTCTTTTATGAGTTTTATAGGTTAGCTTTTTACATTTAGGCTTTTAATCCATCTGGAATTTATTTTTGTATACAGATCAAGAGAGGGATTTTTTTTTTTTTAATGTGGATGGCTAATGGTCCATGTGGCATTTTATTGTGCTTTCCTCACTGATTTATGATGCCATACTGTCATACACCAACTTCCAAATGTACATGGATCTGTTTGTGGATCTGTTCTGTTCCTTTGATTATTTGTGTTTTCCTATACTCATACCACATATTCTATTAATATAGGTTTAAAATAAGGCTTCTTATTTGAAAGAAGAGTCTTCCCTTCTCATTCTTTTTCTTTAAAACTTTTTGGCTACTCTTGACCTCCTACTATTCTACATCAATTTAAGAATCAGATTGTCAGGTTCCTTTAAAAAACATTCTTCTGGAATGTTGATGAAAAGAGTACATTGAATTTATAGATTAATTTGGGGAAGATTGACATCTTACAGTATTGTCTTCACATTCAGAAACATGGTTATCTTTTAAAAATGCCTTTTATGCTCTTTGGCAAGATTGTATCACTTTATATAATATTTTGCATAAGGTTTTGCACATATTTTCTTAAATTTATCCTTAGGTACTTATAATTTTGTTAGCATTTTGAAAGGAAGTTTTTGAAATGACATTTCTTATTGAGATTGCTGCCTTATGTTAATTTTTGTATAGTTTTGTATCTGGCAACCAGGCTAAATTCCTTTTTTATTCAATAGTTTTTAGATTTTTTATGAGAATAATATTTTCTAGGTATAATGGTAGTTGTTTTTATCTTCCCAACCTTATAGTTTTTTGTTTCTCTTATTAGATGTCTAGGAGCTCTAGGATATTTTGAACAGAAGCAGTGATAGTATGCATTCTTGCCTTGTTCCTGATTTAAAAGAGAATGTGTCTAACATTGTACGTTAATTATGGTATTTATTGTCAGACTAGAGGCCTGGTGCATGAAATTCGTACACAGGGGGAGAGGAGTGTCCTCTCAGCCCAGCCTGCACCCTCTTCAATCTGGGACCCCTTGGGGGATGTCTGACTTCCGGTTTAGGCCTGATCCCAGTAATCGGGTCTAAACTGGCAGTCAGATATCCCTCTCACAATCCTGGACTGCTGGCTCCTAATCGCTCACCTGCTTGCCTACCTGGTCTCCCCTAACTGCCCCCCTCTGCCAGCCTGGTCAACCCTAACTGCTCCCCTCTGTCGGCTGGTCGTCCCTCATGTCCCCCCTGCTGGCCTGGTTGCCCCATGCAGCCTGTTGTTCAGTCATTTCGTCGTCCCTCACTAACCCCCCTGCCAGCCTGGTCGTAGGCAGCCATCTTGTGAGGGTGTGATGGTTAATTTGCATATTACCTCTTTATTATATAGGATTATTATATAGGATTGTAATCGATAATTTTTATTAAGTTAATGAAGTTCCCTTCCAAGTATGGGTAAGAGTGTTTTGTATTATTTTGTTTTTGTTAAGAATTGGTACTGCATTTTATCAAATGGTTTTTCTGCATTTATTGAGATGATCACATTTTTCTCCTTTTATCTGTTAACCTATTAATATGTTATTTGTGCCTTTTTTATCCTAAGAAAGATTTATTACACTTTATAAATCTTTTCAAAGAATAATTTTGGATTTGTTAAATCTCTCTATTGTTTCTTTCTATGGCATTATTTTCTTTTGTTTAAGCTTAATTGGTATTTCTTTTTTACTTATTAGACACTCTTATAGTTTTTTAATTTTTATTTAGAGCCCACAAGTTGATATGCAGTGTTTTCGTTGTCATTTTGTTATAAATATTTTGTGCATAATTATACTTATCAATTTCTGGTTTATATTATTACTACTTATGTAATAATACAATATGTGTTGCCTTTCCTCCAATGGATATTCCTCATCTGTGTGCATAACAATTTTTTAAATAAATAAGTGGGGGGAAATGAATGCACTTGGTCTAGTCAGAATAAAAAATAGGGCACTATAAGACCAAAAGTCAAGTATTTGCATATTACACTGTAAAGTAGCATACTACCAAGATATGGATTCATTAATTAGTATCATGTTGGGGTTGTTTCATTTTTAATAGGACCTTCTCACTTCACAAGCAAGATTCGTGAACACAAATCTTTATCTTTTCTTCTTTCCTAGATTACCCAGAAGTATCAACTTCATGAAGTCACTGCCTATCTATTAGAAAAGAAAGGAGATGTTCATGGTGCCTTTTCAATAATGCTTAAGGTAGCATTTTACTATATTTGCTTTGTCATGTTTCAGTGTGTCTCTCTATTCATTGCATTAGTCTATCTCTTTTTGAAATATAATTGACTATATTTTGAAATATAATTTGAAATATAATATTACATAAATTTTCATCAATCCATTTTAATTTATTATGTTTCAAAGAAAGTTGCAGGCAATAGTACATTTTACTTCAATATTTTTATCATGCCTGTCACTGACTAGAGTTCAGTATTTCTGTGTGGTACTTTTTAAAGGTAAAATTTACATACAACAAAATACAGAAGTCTTAAAAGTACATTTGATGAGTTTGACAAATGCACACACCTGTCTAATCCTAGTCCCTAACAAGGTGGAGAATATTACCAGAAATTTCCCTCATGCTTCTTCAGTCAGTTTCCATTCCCATTCCCCCAGAAATAACCACTCTTCTAATTTTTTTTACCACCGTGGGTTAGTTTTACCTTTTTTATTCATTCATATTAATGGAATCATTTAATAGGTTTTCTTATATAATCCCTCTTGCTTCAGCATAATGTGTTTGAGATTTGTCTCTGTTATTGGATGTATCAGTAGTTTGTCCCATTGACTGTGAGTAATATAATTGTATGAATAGACCACAGTTTATCCATTCTTCTATTGATTGACACTTGGGCTAGTTCTAGTTTTTGGCTATTATGAATAAAGCTTCTATAATCACTTTTGTACATAAATGTTTTCATTTCCCTGGAATCATTACCAAGGAGTGAATTGCTGGGTCACTGGATACGTATTGGTTTAGTTTTGTAAGACATTATCAGACCTCTTTCCATTTTACGTCCTTCCAAATGTGCTTTGGTTGCTTCACATTTTTACCAACAGTTTGGTGTTCTATCAAATTTTGAAAAAAAATTTTTTTCATTCTTTTAATTGTAACATATACATAACATGAAATTTACCATTTCAATGGCATTATGTATATTTACATTGCTGTGCAGCCATCACTACCGTCCATCTCCAGAATATTTTTAACTTCTCACAAACCCATTAGACAATTACTCTCCATTCCTCCCTACCCCCCTGCCCCTGGAAACCACCATTCTACTTTTAAGCTATATGACTTTAATTACTTGAGATACTGCATATAAGTGGAATAACACAGCATTTGTCTTATTGGGTCTAGCTTATTACACTTAGCATAGTGTCTTCAGGCATATTACACTTAGCATAGTGTCTTCAGGGATATTATACTTAGCATAGTGTCTTGAGGGCCAGGGCCTAAGCCATGTGTGGCAGTGGTGGTGGAGAGAGAAGAGGACATGAATTTGAGAACTTACTGGTCATTTAAATACAGTATAAAGTGAATGAGAGGGAGTGGTTAATGATGGTTCTATGATTTTTAGCTTAAAATTAACCTATAAGGGACCTCAAGAACAGGAGCAAATTTTTGGTAGAAGGCTATATTAAAGTCAGCTTTGGTGTATATTCAGAAGCCTTTGCAATATCAGTATCTGAGGATCTAGAATTCAGTAGAGCAGTGGACACTATAACTGCATATTTAGGATATCTCACATTCAAGGCTGTGCCCCATGCTATGGAGTTAGACTTGTCATGTCCTTTCTTATCTCAAAGCATGGATACATTCTGATCCTCATTACTGTGCCTCAGAGATGTCCATGATGACTATGTAGGTAGCACAACAGAAACATAAGTGGAGCAAAATAAGTGACACTTGATATACTGCTAGCTATGCATTCTATATACACCAGAATTCTCTTTGGAATGACAGGGACCATTCCTAATAACTTGGTTGTTTCTTGGTTTTTTTAAAAAAATTTGTCAGTTTAATTATTTGGTGGATTAGAAATTAAAGTGTTCCTTTTACCTCCTAGAGACTACAAAGCAAACTTCAAGAAATAACACATCAAGGTGAAAGTAAGTTCTTGAGTGTAATTTATAATTTCTTTGTTTACCCCATGGTTTTAAAAATGTTTCCTAATAAACTGCATTTATTAAGTAATAAATTTATTAAGTAAATTATCCTGCATAAATGCTGTTTATCAATTTTAACATTGGTCCCAATTTTATCTTGTTTTTAAGGAATCATAATAGGAAAGCAAATAAACCATGTGGCTTTGTGATGCTAATTGTCAGTGGAGTTCAGTGTACAGAAATTTTGAGATTATCATTAATATATTCTTAAGTATGTTAACAATTTTTCTGAATCTAGCTACCAGAGAGGATCCCTCATTGAAGGATGTGGAAGAGACCACGGTAGAGACAATTGCCCTTTGCCAGAGAAATTCACATAATTTGAACCAGCAGCAAAGAGAGGTAGGAGAATGATTACTTAGGCATTTAAAAGTTTGTTATGGCCTGGAACTAGGAATTAATCCTATTTCTATTGCCCTCTCAGCTACCTGAGTTGAATTCAACTGATTTTAATCACTGTTTAGTGCTCCCAGGAGTGTAAGACTCCCAAAGTTGTTATGAGGAGTGCCTGTCCTTTGTTCTATCGAAAGGCTCTATATTCTTACATTTGGCTGTGTTGCAGAACTTAACTGTGTGAATACTAGATGTCCTTGTTCTTTTTGGACTGAGATTTTGTGTATCCCATGTAGTGGTATTGTGGATATGTCATCATTTATCATCTCTTCCATTCCCCATGGAAGAAAGTGAGCATGAAGAACTGGAAGAAAACCCTCAGGGATACAGAGAAAGCTGGAAAAGGTCAAAGAAGGTTATGACACAGTAGTTCTCAACCTTGGCTGCACCATAGAGTCACCTAGGGAGCTTTGAAAAATCCCAGCACTCAGATTGCACCCAGGTCAATTAAATTAATGTCCCTGTGGCTGTGACCCAGTCATCAGTATGTTGTAAACTTCCCCCATGATTCCACTGTGCAACCCAGGGTGGAAGCACAGCTGTACCAGATTCCAGAGTGCAAAGGGGAGAACACAGAACTGAAGGAGGAAGAGTGGAGCACTTGTGCAGGTGGGAGTTACAGCAGGGAAGCAGAAACTAAGGAGATGAGATGTGACTTGACAGCAAAATTCTGCAGTAGTTTTAAGAAGTCAAGTCGACAACATGATATGGCATAACTCCTCTGGTGCCTGCCCTTCCAGGCTGTGGTCTATAGCTTAACACCACCTGGCTTTTTCCCACTGCCTGGTGGTCTGAAATGGGAAGCAGGTAAATGTTTCACATAGTTAGCCATGTGTGTTACAATGGAAATAATAAACTTGATGTTTTCTTAAGAGGTGGGTAAATTTCTCCTTTACATTTTTTTTTTATATATATTTTATTGATTTTTTACAGAGAGGAAGGGAGAGAGATAGAGAGCCAGAAACATCGATGAGAGAGAAACATTGATCAGCTGCCTCCTGCACATCTCCCACTGGGGATATGCCCGCAACCAAGGTACATGCCCCTGACCGGAATCGAACCTGGGACCTTTCAGTCCGCAGGCCGACGCTCTATCCACTGAGCCAAACCGGTTTCGGCTCCTTTACATTTTTTAAAATATATTTTTATTAATTTCAAAGAGGAAGGGAGAGGGAGAGAGAGATACAAACATCAGTGGTGAGAGAGAATCATTGATCAGCTGCCTCCTACACACACACACCCCCACTGGGGTTCCAGCCCAAAACCCAGGCATGTGCCCTGACTGGAAATGGAACAAGCACATTTACATAATATAGGTGCTTTTTTGTTTATTAAAAAACTTTTTCGTGTGAAAGATATATATCCATCATTTTTTAAAATCCTGCAATACAGAAAGTTATGCAGAAGGATGTTTTAAAAAATTACCTGTGTCTGTCCTATCACCCATCATTATTATCATTTGGTGACTATCACTCTAGATATTTTTTATCTGTCTAGGTTAACATAATTTTAGAAAAATTGGTTCAAATAATGCTTGCTTTTAAAATAAATGTAAAATTCAGTCTCATTAGGAAGCATATGTAAAACTGAGGAATTGGTGAATTTCAAATATTTCTTCACCATACTACCTCTTAATAAATCTCACTGAAGTTTAAAAAATCTGAATTGTAATAGATTGGAATTATTATGTTTATAATTACATCTCAGTTTTTATAATATCTATGATTCCCAGCCAGTAAGGAAATTTGCATGAATTCATACTTCCTCTAACCTCTCTTGTCCAACCATCTTAATTTTAACTAGTTATGTTATTTTACCTTATTAAGGTTAATAATACACTCTTTTCTGAATCCATAATTCTCATGGTTATTTAATCTTTATTCAAATGGATAACAGGGTTTACACCAGTCCCTTTTGCCATGATTTTTCCATCCCGAGTTTTTATTTTCATTTATCTTATGGTTAGCCGGCTGTATTTTGGTGATATTTTGATAGAAAAACACAAAAGGGTGAAATTGTTAAATCTTTGTTTATACATATTTGATACAAGCCTTTTTAAAATTTCAGTCCTTCCATCTCCTCTTTACTATCTATTTGATACTCTTCTTATGGAAATTTTAAGGGATATGACAATTATGTTTTATAAATAGAGCTGTTCAGGTTCACATCACCTGAAATATGTCCAGATTCACATATATTAATGGTAGAATTAGATATAAAATCCATGCTTCCAGAACAGTAGGGTTTATTTTGACTATATTTGAACTCAGTGTCTCTTAAAGACAGGAACAAGGCTTCCTTTAATATGACAAAAGGGAAATTTATTTATTTATTTATTTTGATTAAAAAATGTGATGGAATTTGTTAAAGATATTAGATGTTAGATTTTTTTCTATTCTTTGAAATTTTCACTTTTCTAGGATTATAATTATACCATTTTCTGGCTGCATGTAAGAGAAGTCTGTCTATAAGGGAAGTCTGTCTGGCTCTCCCTCTCTCAGACACACACACACACACCTCACACCAATCTCTACCACCACCCCAACCCCCCAAAACTGGTTTCTGCTTCATTTCTGAACAAGTTTCATAACAGAATGTTTGCTCTTATGTAAATAGTATTTTTGTGAAAATGCTAGACTGCTTTTATATAATACCAAACGTTAAGTTTGGGGGATTTTTAATAATTGTTTTGCCTTGTTTCTCTTTGTTTTAATTTGTTTTGTTTTGTTTTGGAGAGTGTGAGAACAAGAGCTTTTGCTGCAGACCCTAAACTAATTAGAAAAGTTGGAGTATCCAAAAGCTTGATTGTGAACTGTCTATAATACCTCTTTCTAAAAGTTTCTTCAGAAAATTAAATATTATGGAGTATTTTCTTAAGTTTGACAGTCATTTCCCAAGTAGAATGTCTACCTGTCCTATCTTTGTATGTCTGGCTATTTACTGTATGCTGCTATATCAGTGTCTGCTGATTAGATATAACAAAGAGCATGGCTTGCTTTGCATATAATCCCTGAAAAGAAAGCTATTTACTATATAATAAGGGAAAGTAATTCCAGTTTAGTTGTGTTGCCCTCAGGGTTTAGGATTGCCACTTTCATGGATTGTTATTTTAGCCTGTAGGTTTTCATTTTTCCAAGTTAAAAAAAATTAAGAAACAATATTAAAGAGCAAGAGAGGTAAAATATTGAAAAGGTATTTACCATATGTTTAGGGTTAATGTGGAGATTTAATTGAAGAAGAATAACTCTTTTATTTAGGTTGTGAACATATCCATGGCTATTATCTCTACATCCATGCTTTCCTGGGATGTGCCATTTATAAATTAAGAATAAAATAACCTTTAAAAAGTAATTCTTCTAACTTGTTTGGATTCAATAAGGAAATTTATAAATAAAATTTCTAAATATAATATAAAGAAACAAAAAGTAAAAATTAGGTATGCCACATACAATTAAATTAAAAGACCATAACATACACATAAATAAATGATGTGATTATAAAAAAACAAGTTAAAATAGGCAACTAAAAGGTGAGCTAAGTAAATTTAGTAATAAACGAACAAACAAAATAAACTCATAGATACAGACAACTGATTGGAGGTTACCAAAGGGAGCAAAATGGTTAAATGGGGTGAAATATACAGTGACAGATGGAAACTAGACTTTCGGTGGTAAGCACACAATAGAGTATACAGATATTGAATTATAGTGTTGTACACCTGACATTTATATAATATTATTAACAAATGGTACCTCAATTTTTTTTAAAAAAAGGACAAACAATAAAATACAAGATTAAAGGTCATAAGTACTAGATAAAATAAAATAAAGAATTGCTGGTATATAACATGGCTCAAGCCAGTATCTTAAGAATTTGAAGAAATATATAAAAAGTCATCAGTATAAAAAACCCTGGCCTTAGAAAACCTCAAATGGGGGCAGATAAGGGCTTCCTAGTAAAGCTCCTTACTGGGAGGTCACCCAGTAGGAAAGTCACTGGGCCCTGAGCCTGTCCCTTAGCAGGCTCCCATATCTCCATTGACATGTGAGCTCCACAGTGTCAGATGGGTGAGAACATGCCCTCTTCTGTAGATAACCATTCTTGTCCTGCTCTGCCACCTGGATGTTTACAGGAATATATTCCCCCTAGAGACTGGGTCAAGGCCTTTATAAATCATTATCCATCTAGAAAACATGTTTGAAATTTTAAAATGTATTAGTTTGATTTCTGATGATAAAGATATTTCTTAAGGAATAGCACATAATTTGGAGTCATACTACCAATGTTTTAGCAGTGTGATCTTTGGCAAGTTAAGTTTTCTAAGCTTCATTTTCTTATCTCAAGTGAAGACAGTGCTCACTATGTAAGGTTATTATGAGATTGAAATGAGAAAATGTATGTCAAGCATTTAATACAGTGTCAACATGTATTAGGAATAAATAAATGATAGATCTATTATCTCATGATGTGGTTGAAAATGTTAATTGAAATAATGTTAACTTCCACTTACTGGTCTGTAATGACTAAGGAAATACAAAATAATACTTTACATAAGAAAAACCTTTGGATAATCTTTATTCATTTATGTTGCTTGACATAGCTGAAGAGAAATTGGGCAAGGGTAGCTGCGGGGTGTTCTCTGTTCTTTTCTGCAGTACAGAGGGTTATTTAGACTTTGTTAGTGATGCAGTTATGCCAGAGTATATAATAACCTAGCAGGAGGCTCTGCCCTGGTTCCTTTAAACCTACTCTCTCCTGAGACACCAAAGATTGCAGTTCTGAGGTCTAACCTTGCTTAACTTCAGCTTCCTTGTTTTTCCAGGATGCATGATAAATGTATCTGTTTTAGCTATGGTCCCTGATTTTTATTGTCTTATCTTTTCCCATTCAAGTGTCCCATCTTTTCTTTTTCTAATTTTTACCAACAAATGTATGTGAGAAGTACATTTCAGCCTGTGAAACACTATGCTGATGTTACTTATTCGTAAAAATAACAGCACTTTTGCCCTGGCTGGTGTGGCTCAATTGGTTGGGCATCACCTAAAGGTTCCCGGTTCTATTCCCAGTCAGGGCACATGCCCGGGTTGCCAGCTCAATCCCTGGTAGGGTGTGCACAGGAGGCAGTATTTGTCTCTCTCCCTCTCCCTTCCTCTCTCTCTCTCAAAATTAATTAAAAATATATTTTAAAAAAAATAGCAGCCCTTTTGTTTTCCTTTGGTTTGCTCTGACATTGTAGGCACTCTGGTTTCCCTTATTGGAGGCAATGATGGCCCCTCAGAAGCTGTCCAGTTCAGCCACACCTCATCTACACTCTGAAGGTAAGTTCATCAGAGCCATCTATACTACCACCCAATTTTTATCTGCTAAAAACTAACATTGTGATACTTTTTCCCAGTATTCTTATTATATATCTTAATGAAATGATATTGTAGTGTTGATTTCATCTTTCAGATTCATTGCTTTCCATGGCACCAGTTATGTCATTTGTCTTGAGTAATAGTAGCTTTGCAGTAATTAAACTTTAAAGTATCAAACTGGCCTTGGTTAGCTAAGTTTCCAGGAGGCTATATAAATCTATTTTCCACTGATTTGTAGGAAAATCCAAAAACTCTTACTCTAAATTAACTTTAATATCAACATTTTATTACAACAGCTCTGAAATCTTTGACCATGCAAGTTCTAAACAGCATGGCAGCATTTATTGCACTTCCATCAATCTTGCAAAGAATCTTACAGGTGAGTTAAAAGTGGGGGAAATTCACTGTTGATCAAGTTCAACTAATATTTAGTTATATGTAAATGATAGCAACTGAGCTAATGTTTAAATATGTCTCAAGCATATTGCAGCTAATTTTTGGCATGAGCTAAATATCTGATTTATGACTCTCATCTTGACTCTTCCTAGCACTCCAGTGGTATAGGTTTGTTTGGCACACACTTGTGAGCTTCAGTTAAGGCATGCAGCCTTCAGATGTTCAGTTACCTTGGCATTTAGATACACAAGCTTCCTGTTAGTGTGCTAAAACTAGGAGAGAATTACCATTATTTCCATCTGCTTATACTTTTTAGAGACAAAATAAAAGATAACCTAGCCTGGCTTGTGTGGCTCACTGGTTGAGTGTCGACCTATGAACCAGGAGATCATGGTTCAATTCCTAGTCAGGGCACATGCCCAGGTTTCAGGCTTGATCCCTGGTAGTGGGTGTGCAGGAAACAGCCGATCAATGATTCTCTCTCATCATTAATGTTTCTGTCTCTCTCTTTCCCTCTCCCTTCCTTTCTGAAATCAATGGGAATATATCTAAAAAAAAAGATAACCTAGAAATTACGTTATTATAGGCATTTCTTAATTATTAGTTGTTACTTATGTTTTCTAACTCAACCTAAAGTTTTCTTTATGTCCAAAACTCATCCCCTACTCTAGATTCTAGCTGGCTTTGTATCCATAGCTTTTGTAGGAAACATCATTTCAGCCTGTTCTCACCAGCAAAAACACCTGAACCTTTCCAACTTCATCAAAAGGAGAACATTAAAATGTAATTTTAGAAAAATGTGTGAACATTCTTAGGGAAACAGCAAGAATGATCCTTAGAGTCCATTTTGCCTTCCATCAGTTCATGCAATATAGACACACACACACACACACACACACACACACACACACGGAATCAAACAGTAATATGATGCCATTGGTCTTTATAATTTTCTAATGATTTCTATCCAATCAAGAATTTCCCTGTCAGCTCTCTTTTAAGACTTTGCAAGCTCTTCTTTCCACCCGATATGAAGCATCTGGGACTTTGCTGATAAAAACTACTGCATTCAGTAGTCTCTAGTCACTTAGTTCCTTATCATTTAGAATGTCTCCTGACATATATTATCTCATTTGATCCTTGTCATTGTTGAATAATTCTTTTGATATACCAGTAGACTACTTCTCTTATATCCATTTTAAAATGCATTAGTCATAAGGTTTTTAATCACATGTGAAGCAATATCTCAATAAGGCAGGAATACTTTAGTTCACCAACTAGATTAGAAAAAAAATGAAATCCTGAAGCCAAAAGTGGCTTCTCTTTCAGTATATGCATTTTGCTTTATGTTGAGCTTTAACCACACTTTCTGATACATAAATTACAATAAATAAAATCTAATTTTCCCTTGGCAAAAGCATATGTTCTTTTATTCTGTATTTTAAAATTCATATTTTTGAAGGCTTTTGATATTTAAAAATCTTCACTTTATTTTGAGTTTTATTGGCACTCATTGTGATTGTATTCTTATTTTCTACCCTCAATGGTTGTTACTTCCCACTAATCAGGAGGGTATGTTCTTAAATGCTTTATCTGCACATTTGTGATTATATTTGTATACAGATTTTTATTTTTTCAAGATGTTTTCACAGGTATTCTCTCATTTAAAGTTCATAATCTCTTGAGGTAGGTAGGCCTACTATAAAAATTTCTGTTGACGAAGGATGAAACACAAGAGAGTCTCTTACCTCCTAATTTATGCTCTTTCCCATTATATTATGTAAGCTTTTTCATTTGTTTCAGGCCCTGGTCTTTTGAAAAGTTTATTATTAGTTAGCTTATTAATTATATGTTACCCTGTTTGGTCATTGCCTATGTGGATGAAAGACACAGTTCTTGCCCTAAAATCCTATCTAATAATAGACAAACAGGGTAATTGACCATACCTTCCCTACGCTTCCCATTGGCTAGTCAGCATGGTATGCAAATTAACCACCAACAAAGATAGGGGCTAATTTGCATACTGCAGGCAGATCCTGCTGTGCCGCCCCTCCTGGGGCTGGCGGAGATCCCCAGCCCCGCCCACCCCAGCGTGGGATTCGGGCCTGCCATGTTTTGGGCAGGGTGAGTGGGGTAGGCGGCAGCATGATCTGAGCAGCTGCCTGCCCCAGCGCAGGATCCAGCAGGCCCGGGGCACGGGGAAAGAGGGGGATCACGATCCCCAGCCGCCGCCCGCCCCAGCTCAGGATCTGGGCCTGCAGTGTGCAGGGCGGGGTGGGCAGCGCAACTTCTGACTCCGAGAAGTGGTCTGGGGGCTGGGAGGCAACTCCTTTGACCACAGCGCTGGAGTCCCACTGCTCCACCAGGAGAGGAGCAGAGAAAGGCCGGAGCCTCCCTCAAGGTGACCCGAAACCCCCACCCACACCAGGCAGGCCTCTGGGCCTCTGTGCGGAGGACTCACCTCCAAGCCCAGCCAGTGGCCATGCCGCAGCCATGGCACTCCTGGGTGCAGGCCCCGGTGGGGGCGCCATGAGTCCTGGGCTCCTCGCCTGCCTTCCGCAGCCTCCTCCTCCCCAGCGCCCAGAGCAGCGGACCCACCGAGGGTGCTCCTCACTGGCTGAGGGGGTGAATGGAGCAGCAGGGACTCCCGGGTGAAGGGTCGCCCTGGGGAGGAGTCCCGACACCTCCATGCCCTGCTGCCCAGGCCCTAAGCACAGTGTGGAGCCGCGCATGCCTGGAGGGCGGGGTGGGGCGGGCACACATGCGCCTGGTGCAGCGGGACTTGCTCGGGAGCCGCCCGCCTTCCCAGGCGGGCCTCAGGCCCGGCGCCCAACGCGGAAGGGCCACACTGCGGCCACCAGGCCCTGAAGGCTGCCCTGAAATCCACACAAAGACAACCTGCTGCTGGAGGGCAGGCATGCGGTGCTCCAGGAAGATGCCAGAGGTAGGGAAGGAAGGTCAGGCGGAGCAGGCAGGCCCATGCGGAGCCCGCTGGAGCACAGCCAGACCCCAAGGCCACCACCAAGCCAGGCCCCAGGGAGAAGCGAGCAGATGCCACTCCACTCGCTGGAGAAGACCATTGAGCAGAAAACTAAAGAAACCGATTTTACATCATTTCCCAGGTGGAGAACAGTTGGCATGTAAGCCCCTGACCAGTGCCCAGCCTCTCCTTTGTCTGTCTATCTCACTCTTAGGTACCATGTTCTTTGTTCTCTCTTAACTGCAACTCATTTTTAAACTAGATTGCTTTTAAAAGAAGACTAAATAAAGTTTCCCTTAAGTTATTTAGGCAGTGCTGGGGCTGCTGGGGGCCAGATTAGAGACACAAAAATGCAGGGGAGCCCGGCACCCAGCAGCCCCGAAGCCCACCACCTCGGCACTGGGGCTGCTGAGGGCAGGATCAGAGACACAAACCCTGGGAGCCCTGCAAAAGATGGGTGCTCGCCTCCAGGCGAAGTGCTTTCCCTCCAACCCTGCTCTTCCTGGGAGTGCAGTGCAGAGGGCGCTCTCCCTGGGAACCTGGAAATCCACCTCTGAGGCGACTGCACAGCAGCCATGCCGGGCGAGCCAAGGAGAGGGTGACCTACCCATGCGGATATGTATGCTGGCAGAGGCCACGCAGCTGCCATAATTGAAGTCATCCTTGATTTAGGAGCGGGGATAGCGGGGATCAGAGTCGGCCAGGTTGGCAATGGAACCCCAGCTCCCCACTGAATGACTAAAGCACATGGTTCTCAGTCACTTCCTGAGCAGCAGTCAACCCCGACTGGGGATCAACCCGAAACCTAAGTAGGTGCCCTGGCAGAATGGAACCCAAACCTTTGCTGTAGCAGAGGAGCTCCGACCCATAGCAGGGGTGAGTGCAGCGGCGGTGGCACTAAGGAGCAGCAAGCGGAGTGGTAGGAAGCAGCAAGCAGGTGGGCGGTAAGGAAGGAGGGGGTCCTGGACTGCGAGAGGGCACAGGCTGGGCTAAGGGACCCCCCACCCATCCCCAGTGCATGAATTTCATGCACCGGGCCTCTAGTAACTCTTATAAGGGAGATGGAAAATGTTCTGATAGAACTATTCATAGGGCTCTAATCAAGTAATAGTGGCCCCCTTAAGGATTATGTGCTCTGAACTCCATCTAGGGCAACTGCCACTTTTACATCCCTCCACTTTCAGTTAACAAGATTACAGCAGGAATAGCCATGTGAAAGCATGACCCTGCCCCCTGACTCCACCTGATTGACTCAGGGTGGACAACTGGCTTAAGCAGGGCCAGTCAATGTCCTTTACTGGAAATTTTAGGACTGAACTTGAGAATGATGAATAAATTTCTCTTCAGGTCTCTGGATTACATAAGGTACAGTGTTGAGGTGACAGTAACTACTTTTCCATTATATGGACTAAACTAATAAAAAAAGTTAATCTACAGAGAGAAGAAGAAAAATGAAGCAGACACACAGAGAGGAAAATAGACAAGATTCATGGAGAAGAGAGAAGATACAAGGAGAGCATTCAAGACACTGGGCAAGGAGACAATGGAGAGAAATCCTGATGGCATTTGAGTCTCTCATTATAGCTCTTAAGGCTTACCTGCATTCCTTTTCTTGGATCGTTGAAACACCCCAATGCCTTTACAATAATTGTCTGTTTTGAGTAAATTAGAATGAGTTGGGTTTCTGAATATATATTATATATTCAGAAGAGGTCCCAATATAAGTATATATTTGAAACAGATTGGGGAATTTGGAAAGATTTTCTGGAGAAGATGTCTAAACTGAATCTTAAAGAGCCTAAAGAGATCAGGGGAAAAAGTAAATAGGACTTTTCTAAGCAGAGTAAGCTATAAATACAAAGGATTTGAGGTAAAACATGATACATTTGGAGAGTTGTGTTTAAGTATTCTTAGAACACAGGGTAAGAATAAAGGTGAGTCAGGGAGCCAAACTGTGAGAGACAGGCAGGGAATGTGTCCTTAATTGCTTTGTAAACCATGGT